CTCAAGTGAGTACTTCGTCCCCTCAGACCAGGGACACGTGAACGGTCGTTCATTTAGAGTTTGTATACTCTAGGAAGCCTACTTCCTCAGCGCAAGGTGCAGTGTGACCCCGTCACACTGGGATTCATTTGATGTCCTTAGCAAAATTTAAAGGTCCGTATTAAGAGCTAGTACAGGTTACTGCACATAGACTCAACTTAGGGCCAGCTGGAAAACACAACAACGCTGCTCTCTTCTCCGTTATGGTAATGCTGTTCGGTTTAGAAGGCTGGGTAGCCTTCTATAGTTTGAGATCTATTAAAATTACTCTTCACTAATGTCATTAATCATACCACAGCGCCTGTTCAACGCTCACTGGAAGCTATGTGCAGTTGGCACTGCCAGCGCTTGCCAAAAGCCGCAAATTGGCTTTTTTGTGAAACATAAGATGGAGCCACAATACCGCTCTTTTTTTCAAGCTATCTGCTAGACGAATACGAAGTAAGTGATAGACTGAACATCACAGGTCTGAAGTATAAAAGTTTATGGCCTGAGCACCACTGGTCTGAAGTTCAAAAACTGCCGTGCCAGGGTTAGACAACGCGGAGTGGACGGAAAGCACGGGGCAGGAGAGAGGTAGTTCAGAGTAAATTGCGGAATGAGGTCTTTCAGACTAGCTGATTAACTACCCGATCCTCGTCGTAGCAGAGCTTCGGTGGAAGCCATAGCACGTAGTACGCAATTGCTGGATACGCTACCACCTTCAGTCAGCGGTGGCACAGTCCAACAGGTCGGAATATGAAGCGGGTCCAGTGCTCGCTGAGGGAAGACGGTCATGCAGAGATTAGCACGGTCACGATTGGTCTCCATGGCAATGACGAAGGCCAACGCTGCGCGTCGACTTGGTACAGCTATATTACAAGTTCGACAAATTTGATGGCTCCACTATACTATCATCTTCAGCAGCACTAATGAGTTCGAACAGGGTTACGTGTAAAACAAGTTGTTTAACAAGTATTCTATTTAAACCACACGATTTTATTGTTTGTGCAAACCACTAATCACTTTTAAATTGTAATATTTAAGTCAGGACGAGTCAACGTGAGTGAAGGTCGTAGAGTGTGTGAGGTGATTGAAGATCGTCAGGAGATCGTGAAAGACATGCAATTGGCGGAACGCCGTCGAACACAGGACGAGACGGCGGAAGAGAGCCGTCGATCGGCGATCTTTGAGTAGAGGGTTGCCATTGAGGGTATCTGTGTGCTGAGCAGAGACACACAAGGTGGGAGTGGGCAGTGAGCAGTGTGGTCACTTCGAATTCTGCGTGAGAGCAAGCAGGACGCGAGGGACGAGTACGAGTCGACGGTGCTGAGTGTGGGCATTGTCAAGTGCGAACGGTATGAATGTGCACCACCAAGTGTGACGAGTGAAAAGCCATGACGACAAGTGCGTGTGGAACGGTGTATGGTGTTGTAGGCGATACTGTGTCTGGTGATGAAAGTTCCGACAGGGAATTCCGGTGTCGAAGCAGAGAGAAGGCCTTGTGTGGACCCTTTAAACGGTGTGTTGTGACATCCGTGCGGAAGGGATGTCACAACACACCGTCCCTTCTTTACTTCCGAGAATGACTTGTCGAGCCTCCTCCATCTGCTGACGGTGAGAGCCCGTCGACGGCGAGAAGCAACACGTGCACAAGGTGATGACGTGGAAGCGCGAGAAGAGGCAGATGCACTACATCGTGGACTGGGAACCAATGTGGGAGCCGCGAGAGCACCTTCACATAGCCGTTGTTGCTGCCTTTGAAAAGGAGCGCCGTCTTCTCGTTCGCAAGCGCTTCTTTGAAGACAAGGCTGTGGAGGACAGCACACTTAACGACACAGAGGCATAAGATGAGATGAAGATAAGGAGCAAATACAGGGTGTATTAAAAGCTAATACTCGTTAGCGGGAGAAGTGCATTGGTACTATTGAACACTAAGCTTAACCTCCAAATGCAACAGCAAAGTTAACCTCGTTACAAACCGAACACGTATTTCGATTGCTACGCCGAACACAAAGCTTAACCTCCTTTTTTTGGAACAGCAATATTAACCGCAACGCAAGCAAGCACATAACGCATAGAGAGCAGAAGTGGCTGCACATCGCACATACACGCAGTATATAAACACGAAGATACCCAGGGCGGCGAATCATAGTTGGACCAGTAGCATGTGGGGCGACTTGTCCCTTACGAGAAAAAAATCAAGAATGACAATAAGTTTATTTCTGCGGCCGTATAAGCCAACCATACGAATATAACCTTGTTTATAAGGTTTTACTCACGTCTCCAATCGCTGATGATGTAATTACGCATCAAAACAGTTGTAAAAATGAATAAGCGCTTCTAATAGTGGGCCCCGATTTCTGGACTGGGGCCTCATTTCATTATTTGCTATGTAGCGAGAGCACGCCTCCCAGCTTAACAAAAATGCATAATCAGTAAACTGCCGTTTTCTTAGCTCACAGGCCGTTTCAGAGCCTAAGAATCCGGCTACAGACTCGCTACAAACCGCCTTCTGACCTTGCCTATCCTAAAATTTAATCCCCAAAGTACCATACACAAATAGTACACAAAAACAAAACATACGCACAAATATGTCCTTGTTTTGTTCAATCGGAGGTTGTCGCAGGTCGGAGATTTTATGTTATAGACCGGAAAATCTTGATTATGTTACTCGACCGTCCGAGACTGAGTGTAAATGTAAGTGCCACCGCCTGAAGTAGTGGATGCCCACTTATGAATCCCGTAAACGTCATTTCAACGAAGCTTTCGCGCATTTGGATGACGAGATGACCACAGCCAACCTGAAGAAGCTAACAGCGTCTTTCATCATTTTGTTGAATCGTTAGATCAGCTTCACCAAGCTCTCGAATCGCTTCTTTTTGTCTGCTCTGATGGTAGTACAAAGCACCGAACTTCGTCGCACTGGAGATAACCAAATATGACTGTTTGACTCTCTAGTTGGGGTTGAGCGACAGGTCCGTCGTTTTAAGGACACGGTGTACTCAGTGTTAAGATAAGGCGTTGAAGACGAAGAAACTTGTCTAGAAGGAGGAAGAAAAAGTGGTGATTGAGTGATTAAAGTTTTCGGAAACCACCAATTTAGCAATTTAGCTTTCCTGTTCTAACCGATGCTATCAACTTATTCAGGGTTGAGTGTAAAACACAGCTAGTACCTTTAGTGATGTTGTGTACTAATGTGTAAGTGTCACCAATCTGGACTTACCCTCGACAACCTCTTTGTGTACAATTCTCTTATGCCTATGTGTTGCAGTTGACTTGCTGTGATGTGGTGGTCACTGACAGATGGCATGACAGTGACCAGGCACACCAAGCATTTTGTACAGCTGGTCAGATTATTCTGGTTTGGCGTAAACTTGACAATGAGTGTCTTATACAGCAGACTACGATTCTTTTGATTCAAAATCCCACGGATTTGCAACGATCAAGTTTCCACCCGGAGGTTTTGATTATGGGATGCTGTGCGAAATTTCCGACCGAGATGAGATTAGGATTTGTAGACTTTCATTGGTAGTTACAGGTAAAACATGATTTGAGAAAGATAGGTTTTAGATGGGACCTTGATACGTGCGCC